ACACAGCATATTTTATAAATTCTCTTTCTTCAGCACCCTACCTACTTCCAAGCCCCTCTTTTTTCTTTCTGTGTTAGCTAGCCACATACTAGAGAGCAATATTGAATGTTTCAGTTGATGGCTCACTGACCACGTGACTTTTGGGCCACAGCAAGGCAGTGGATCATGGTAAAAAGATATACTAGGCTGAAACTGGTCAAAAACGGGACAGCAAAGAAGAAAAAGAACCACAGTCTCCTTCCAGGACCTGCCACTCATGCTTTGAAGACCTCCTGCTCACTTACCCAAGTTATGGAGTTCTAAAGACTCCTTTCCTCCCTACACCGCCAACCCGGACTAAACATTAACAGATAAGCCCTGGAGGGACAGCTAAGGCCCAAACTACAGAATCATTCCTCCACAGTCATGTTTTCAGTTTATTGTTTTGATAATATTGTCAACCAGGAGAGAAGCTTTGTAGCATCAACGGGTATTTCTGAGTTATGTATCTTAAAACAAGGTTCTCCTATTTTCAGAACTACAGGTAGTATTAATCTCCTAAAATAGTGTCTCCCTAAAACTATAATCTTTCAGTTGACTGATAGATCTTTTTCTGTCTTATAAAACATAATTAGCAAGATCAAACGCAAAAAGAGTTTAATAGTCACCTTCACATTTACCAGATGCCTTGTTAGCAATGCAAGATTCTAGGTTTAATGCCAAACAAGCCAAAGCGGAGCCAAATGCTTTCAAGAGACTCATCCTCTGACTCGTTTCTAATAAACATGGATGTCTGCATCACCTAAATGCTGTCAAAGAGCAGTATTTCAGAATAAGCTTGTTGGCAAAGTAAATGAAAGGCATGTAGGAGCCTGAAGAAGCATTCACTCTTGAGAATCAAAGTGCCTGTGAATTTCATGTAGGAAATTCAGCTGGCTTTCATTTTATGCAGTGGAATTTTTATTAAATTAAGGAAAGTAATTGTCAGCATTTGAACCCATTGTTCATTAATGTTTCTGCTTTTGTATAAAGCAATGTTCTTCGAATCTCTTGACTTTCTAACCTAGGGTTCCGGCATTTTCATTTACGCATTATTTTTAGCATTAAAGGACACCCTTATTTGGGACATAATTTTAGAGGACACAGAGTAAAAAATAAATACACAGAGTCTACATTATTAAACAAAGGCTTTAGTATCATCCTACTTCAGTTACAAATTTTGATAGCACAATTCAATGTTTATCCCCTTTGCATTACTATAGCAACAGTTCTGTTGAAGTTACATATTGGCAGAAATTCCTTAGTAGAACAGAAAAGAATTTCTTTTGTGATTTTTGTTTTATGCTTGTGCCACAGTGATGAGTTGAGAAATGACTTTCATGCAGAATAATTTCTAATTTTTTCATTATATGAGACAGGGTCTCATGCAGCCCAGGTTTGCTCAGGCTTACTAAGTAGCCAAAGATTGCCTTCAACTTTTGATCCTCCTGTTTCTGCCTCCTGAATGCTGAGATTACATATATGTGCCATCACTCCCAGCATTAAAACAACTTTTAAAAATCTTTCTACATGGACTGGAAATACAGCTTGGTTCTTAAGAGCACGGGATGTCCTTCCAGAGGACCCAGGTTCAATTCCCAGCACCTGCAAGGTGATTCAAATTTATCTGTAACTCCAGTTACAGGGGATTTGATGTTTTGTTTTCTGATCTCCATGCACCAGGCATGCACATGGTGTCCAGACAAACATGTATGCAAAACACCTATAACAATAAAATAATGATAATTAAAAAGTTATAATCCTTCTACCTTGAATGAATACATGTATATTTACATCTGTATGTCTATATATACATACACATTTGTATGCCCAATTTTGTAAACATTAAAAGTCATATGATTACTTAAATTGCATTAAAATAGGAGACCAATTTATAATCTCCTTTTCAAATTGAGAGAAAGCGAGTAGTCAGAAACATTTGGAACTAACCTGAAACACCTGTGCTATTTTTAAGTTGCCTTTATGGAGTTTCACATAAAATAAGCAGAAAAATCTTAGCTGTTATTCACCAATTACTTCTAACAAGAGATGGGATGACAGAATATGGTTTGCATTTTTACAAAATCCTAGCTAGAGCCTGACATGGTCAGAGTGCACTCCTGCAATTCCAGCACTCAGGAGATAGGGACAGGAGGACTGAGAGTTCAAAATCATTCTTGACTACATAGTAAGTTCAAGGCCAGCCTGGGTTACATAAGACACTTCCTGGAAAAAAGAAAAAGAAAAAACAAAAACAACACACACACACACACACACAGAGAGAGAGAGAGAGACAGAGAGACAGAGAGACAGAGAGACAGAGAGACAGAGACACACACAGAGACACACACAGAGACACACACACAGAGAGAGAGAGAGAGAGAGAGAGAGAGAGAGAGAGAGAGAAGCCCAAAACTCAAACAGATACTAGTCAGTAATATTCACTGCTACCTAGGAAATCTAAGTAAAACAATCACAGTTCATAAAAGTCAAAACTAGGCTGATTCTTGTTTCCAAAGCAAGGTTAGTTCTTAGCAATTTTCAGATGTTTTTTTCCATTGTTCTCTTGAACACTTTCATTTATCTTGTTCTATTTTGTTGTTGCTATGGTCCTAGGAACTTAACCCAGTGCCTCACATATCCTGATAAATGCTCTACCATCAAGCTATGTCTGCTTAAACTTAGCCTATTTTAGTAACTCATTTCGAAGTTCCCAATGCTTTTTCCTTACAATATTGAATCTCTGCCTTGAGATATAAATTTCTAATAAATGCCTTTTTTCAGAATCTCATATGATAGTCCACAGTGTTACAATATCTGAATTTCTTCAGGTTTGTGAAAAGATTTTGTTTATGGGATGAAGAGATACCTTAGCAATTAAGATCACTTGCTATTCCCACAGAGGACCTGATAGCCCAAAAACCCACAAAAGGGATCAAAACCATATGTAACTCTATCCCCAGAAGATCCAGTGCTATTTTCTGGACTTCTACATGCATGTGGTGATGTGGTAGGTCCTTCTGTCTGTGTGCTGCTTTTATTGGTTAATGAATAAAGAAACTGCCTTGGTCTGTAGATAGGGCCAAACTTAGGAAAACTTAGGTAGGCCAGGAAGATGGAACTGAATGCTGGGAGAAAGAAGGGCAGAGTTAGGGAGATGCCATGGAGCCGCTGCCACCAGAGACAGATGCTGGGAACATACCTGGTAAGCCACAGCCACATAGCAATACGCAGATTATTAGAAATGGGTTAAATTAATATAAGAGTTAGACAATAAGAAATTAGAGCTAATGGGTCAAGCAGTGATTTAATTAATACAATTTCTGTGTGATTATTTTGAGGCTAAGTGGCCAGAACAAACAAGCAGTCTTCTCCAACAATGTCATCATACACATACAGCCATACACATACATCTAAATAAAAATAAATAAAAACAATCAACTAACCTAAAAATCCTCATTTATTTTTAATGACAATGAAAAAATGAAGCTTGCACATTGAATTTATTTGTTTCTGAATTTTAAAAATTTAATTTTTAAAGAAATTTTAGCAGTATGCGTGTTTTGCCTACATGTGTGTAAGTGCACCACATGCATACATTGTTTTAAACCACAAACAGATTATTTTTTTTTATATGTGGGGGAAATGATACCAAAACTGGTCTTTGAAATTAGAATAGTTGTCTCAAAGACAATACAACTAGTTATAGAAATATACACATGTCTACAGCCATACCACCCAGGCAGTGTCTTATATAACCCAGGCTGGGTGATTCTGTCTCATCTTAGAAGCTAAGCAGGGTTGGGCCTTGGTTAGCAGGTTAGTACTTGGATGGGAGAAATACCCAAATGTGCACACATGTCTGTACATTGAATTTGGGATACATTAAGTGTCATCTTATTACTTAAACTATATTAAAACAGGATAGTAGATATTCTTCTGCCAAGTTAAACAAATGTTCTCTAATTTTATGATACGGAAAGTGTCCATCCATTGAACAAGGATGAACTGATGACTTACTCTGACACAGGCTGACATAAATACGCCAAGCTCTTGAGACTTCAAGACTCATTCTTACTGTAGCTATCAAGATGACTTGGTGTACATGATAAGTAAAAGAAAAAAAGAAAATATACAAATGAAGCCAAACTGAATGCCAGTGAATTACAAAACCCTCTGGTTAACTGGGATGGGGACAAAGGTTGCTACTTCCATTGGCCACAATTCTCTGAAAAGAACCCAAAAGGTCAAGTTGACTGGAACAGAGGGAGGAATGAAGCAAATCAGGGTCCTACTGGCCATGGGGAGGCTACCAAGGTTCAGTGGTTTGTTCTTGATGTGCGGCCAGACTTTTGGACATTGGTCTGATATTTGTAGTTAGAGCTTCAGATTAATTTAGGGTATCATAAAATGGGACATGCCATGCCACAGAATATCCCAGTTATATTTTATAATACTTCATAAGAGACAGCCCATGTTTCAAAACAATTCCTTAAAGTTCACACTGGGTTAAAATAGCGTGACAATTGTTATCTGTGAATCATTGTGCTAAATTCAGAACTGGAGAGACAGAAAGTAAATATGATCATTGCTTGGGATGAATTTTGGAAAAGAAAGGAAAGGGTAATTCAGTGGGCACCATTTAGACTGGAACGGCGGGGGAGGGGGGAATGAAGCGAAGCAGGGTCTTTCTAAGGAGGTAAAACAGGAAGTGAGAACTGTGCAAGAAATCACTGAGAGAACCACCTGCATGCCTCCTGCCTCCTATGTAAAGGGAACAGAAAGCGTAGAAGAATGAGATGAGAGGAAGAACGTAGCTACAGAAAGGGAACATCTCAGCTCTCGTGGGAAGTGCTTTTTTAAAATTGGATTACACATATCTAACCAACAGTGTCTTGCTATTGAAAGGACAGCAAAAGGTATGTTGTAGTAACAGACCCTCCCCAGCTCAGTCCCTCTAAACAGCAGGATTTCCCACTCACTGTTCATCTGTCCCAAGCTGGTTGGTGCTCTATCCACAACACGCCAGGACCCGTGCTGACTGAGCAGTTTTAGTGACGGACTGAAACCAGAAAGCATGGCACACTTCGTGCCGGCTTTTAAAGCTTCCACACGTGGCACGTCACTTAAACTCACATTTCATTGGCCAAAGCGGTCACTTACCAAGTCATCACGGAAGCCTAGTTCTCCAGTATGCCTGAAAAGGTGTAGATCTGGACATGCTGGTCAATAGGAGCAACTAGGAATTTGTTTACAGCAGCATGTTTGTGTGTGTGTGTGTGTGTGTGAGTGTGTGTATTTAAGTGCTTGTATCCAGAGAGAAAGTCCGTTATTATTTTAATCCAATTCTCAAGAGACTGTGATGACAATTAACAACTGCTGGACCAGTTGAGAACTGTCGTGTAAACATAATTATTTTACAAGGCAATTTGCCGTCTGATCAAGAAGCTAAAGTGATTCAAGAGCTCGGCTTTCCTTTGTGTTAGTGGTGGTAAGTCAAAAGTTGAGAAAAATGAGTTGACTATAAGGTAGGGTCCTGAGTACAGAGAGTTGTGACTTAAAAATACCCGAGTCTGAGGGAAGTGACTAGTGTAAGGAGACCCCAAAAGACATCTGGGGGAGATGGTGGCGAATACTGTAAAGAAGTTGTAACACTGGGCACTGAATGATGTAACTCTTCCCTGCCTTAGGAGGAAGGAATGAAGAACCAAGTATCCTCATGGGACAGTTCACAGAGGGAGGGGAAGGGTAAGGCCTCTACTTTGTCAGTGATGGAGGAACAAGGTCATAGTCTAGATTAAGGGGATTGTACTGCATTTCAACAGCATGGAGTAGCTACAAGTGAAGTGTGAAGTGGAGCTCACTGAGAGAAAAAGATAATAGGGCTTCCCACATCACAGGGGCTAAGCTGGTGTCAGAGAACACAGATGAGCCAGGGTGTCAGTAAGTGGAATTCTGTGATTTCCCTCAATCTATGGGAACAGGAGCTGAGGAAGTGTTTGGATCGCTGAGGCCAGGGGATCAGGACAGGTGAAACTACATGTTTACACATAATATGTAGTTCAGGAGTCTCTGAATGAACAATTAATTTCCTTTTTAATGAAAGCACAAAGTTGGGTGTATGGGTCTAGCTCAGTGATCAAACCTTTGCTTTTACATGGAGGTCCTGGCATTGTAAGAAAACCAAAAACAAGTGGGCACAAAGTTCCCCAAGGATGGTACAAAGAAACTGCATCCAGTTATAGCCAAGAGTTGTCTTTCATGAACTACAGGCTTTGTTCCTAGTAAACATGCCTTGAGCAAATGATTGATGTAGACAATATCACCATGGACAAGGATGGGAGCTTTAACTTATTTCTTACTGCTTAAGGACAATTAATCATCCTTAAGCCCCATGAGATTTTATATGCTATGAATACTCCCCTTGTTCACGAGCAAAAATCTGGCAGAAGAGAAGTATAAGAAGAGAGAGAGAGAGAGAGAGAGAGAGAGAGAGAGAGAGAGAGAGAGAACTCTAAAAATATAATTACATACACAGACCCAGAATTGCTTAGCTAGGCATCTTCCTATTAATTAGTATATTGTAAATCTTGCTGCTATGGCTGATACTAAGACACAGTATTTAGAGGAACCATTAATGAAGGAAGACAAGAGAAAATGAGGAGTGGCCCAGCTCCAGTACAGACGCCCGACTGAACTAATGTTATATTGCATTTCTCTCTCCCCATTTGCCTGCCAAATCCCTGACTTACCCAACTCCCCATTTCGGCGAGATTACATCACCGGCATTTGCCACAAGTGATATTGCTCTTTGCAAATGCTGCATATGCATGCTGAAGGCTGCATGGCTCTGACAGCCATTCTGTTTTTATCAAAGGATGCTTCTCAAGATTGTTCATTTCATTTTCTGTTTCTTCTGGATGGAGGTCTGACCTCTCCGGCATCTATTGTTGATGGACAGGTGAGGTGGGCAAGCCACATCTGATCATTTGGAATTGTATTTGAGGCCGAAGTTAAACGGAACTTTTTACATCCTTCCTTAACGGGAAGAACTGAGCAGGAGGCAAAGAAGTTCACGTTGTAAACGGAGACTGTTTCTGCGAATGGCTTTTCCCCAGAAGACCCTCTCTCTGAATCTCGGTTGTTGATAACTCGCAGGTTTTATCTCCAGGAACTAAGATAGTTTTTTTCCTCGCTTTTGGCCTGCCAACTTATAAGACTTGTCTTCAGCTGAGGCAAGGCTGCCAGATTGAATCCATGGAGAACCTACTCAACTCTATTTATTTTAGAGTATGATAATTTGAGGGAAAAATTTAAATTGTCAGTTTTCCATTACACCCTGGCTATCTAACCAGACCTAAAAACTACTTCTGTGGGGAATTGTGTAAACAGATGGAGAAGCCAAGAAGAGAACGGGCTGATGTCTTGCCAGGGGCCAGACAATCTGCCTAGGACAGAGCCAAACACCCCAGATCCTGATTGATCTGTCCCCGGGTCTTCCTTCTTTAGCTGCCCATGGTAAGTGGAAGGTAAGGCCCTCCAGCAAACACTAAGCAGAGGTTTGATTATTCAAGGGTCTTGACCTTGACCATGATCTTAGCATGTCCACATTCTGATCGCTAGTGGGTAGGTCCAGAGCCCCAGGGACTGAACACTCTGAGGGCAAGCACTATGTTAGACTCATCTTTGCAGATGTGATGTTGTGCCCAGTGTCTGGCATATACTCAGTAACCCAATTTCTGCATAATATATCCAGATAACTGAGAAATGTTGCTAGGTCATATCATTTCTCTGCTCACAATGCCTCAACTACCCCCACTTGCCTGCCTCTGCCTCCTTTCTGGATGGTGGGCAGGTTCCTTACACTGACTTCCGTTATGTGCCTGGACTCACACTCTACACACCTAAGGGGCCACTCTCCTTCTTTGATACAAGACAATAGTCGACTATCACTTTGCATGAAGTCAGAGTTCCCTTGTCCCTTTTAAAATTGAAATCTTCATTCTGCCCTCTGCCCACCCACACTCTTCGTCTCTCCTAGCCTGCTCTGTTTCCTCCATGACACTCACCATCTTCCAACTATTTAATAATTCACTACATTGGTGTTTGGTTGTTGGTTTCTACCTTGCTAGCATGTCAGCCTGTAAGGAGAGGATTCTAGTGACTCTTGGTCAATGATTTTTTTTTTTTTTTGAGTATTTCATCACCCATCAGACACTTCCAAAACACTTGGTAAATGATTGTTGAGTGAGTGAATGAATCAAGCTGAATGGATGAAGCAAACGAGCAAAGGAAGAAGCAGGAGAGAGAACACTCTAAAGCCAGGCATAAAGATGGAGGGAGCCTCCGTTGTGACACGTTCACACGCAAATCTTCATTTCCATGAGAAGTCCTTTCAATTAATGATGAGTTTGGTTGATGTCTAGAGTCAAGTCTGTAGACTTCCAAGCCAAACTGTCAAGTTGACTTGGTAACTATGTGGTTCAGCCCCTGGTGAATTCGCACAAAGAATTCAGTGTGTGATTTGGTGTTTCCCCACGTGAACTGTGAGCCTCCTCCATTAGACGTGCTTGTTAAGTAATCTGGTTCCTGAGACCTATCTACCTCCCAATGGTTACTAAGGAGTAGATTGCCCGGTGGTTTGAATGCGTGCCAAAGTTTCAGAATGAGTAGTGTATATGAAACTCCCCCCCCCCCCAAAAAAAAAAACAAAGATTGGGTGGAGGAGAACAGGACTTTCTCTACTCTGGTGCCAAGGTTTCACCGGAAGTTTGTAAGAAAGCGCTGCATTAATTCATTAAAGTAACACCGAGTAAGATTGTTTTGGTAACAGTAATTTCCAGAACCTTTTTAAAGGCTGACGTCATTCTGAGTTTCCAGGAGTGGGGTGCTATAGGCAGTGGCTCAAACATTCCGCTGCAGGCAGCTCTTCAGAGTCCTCTTACTTTTGTTTGGCAAAGAAGTTCTTTGAAGAAAAAGCCTATAATTGCTAATCCTTATTTTAGCTCCCTATGATTCTGTTTTCTCTCTTATTAATTTCCTTTTTAGCTAATAATATAACAAGGACCTCCACATTCCTTAGGGAAAAACATAACATAATTCATAATTCCTGGCATGCATCCCTGTAAGTGAGAAAGATTCCTTGTGTGTGCTCCTGTGTGCACAACAATACCGAATACTACACAAAGAAGCCTATGTATAGTGCACCTGAAGAAGGCTGTTTGCTAAAGCAAAATTTGGCGAGCTTGGGAGGCTTCTGTCTTCTGTATGAATTAGTAGGATGCACACACATAAATATCTCACTGGGTACAAGTGCTCATGCCCCCTGATTCTTGCATATTGATCACCACTAATCTATCCCTTATGTCGCTTTCCATTCCTGTGGAAATAAGATAGGTATGTGCCTGGAATAAATAGCCTTCTCCCCATTTGGAAACTGTGCAGGGTCTAGGGCACATTGCATCCTTCCGTATAATGGAAGTACCCACGCGCTGGCAATTGCTGTCTACAGACGTAATGAACCAAGTGGGAGGTAATGAGAAGTGACTGTCACGCCATCTCTGGGGCCTGGTTCCTCTTGCTGCACAATTACACTGTGACCCCAGAGAAAGCGAGACGAGTGGAACATTCTCTCCTTTTCTAATGATCTTAAAATTGGCCTTAGCTTACGGTGTGCACGTGCAGGGGTGCGGGCTATGATGGCTGGGGAAATGTACGATGGCAGCATAAGAGCCAACCCCTCCCTCAGTGCTGTCTTGGCTTCTTGCTGGAAAGATGCCAGCCTACAGGGGCAGTCCTTTCAGGCTTTCCGTGGTGCGTCTTTGGGATGAGAACTGTTACTTCGTCTGTAAGCGGAGAATGGGCCAGGGAAGGTGTCGTATAGAGAGCCACACTCATGCTGCAAGGATATGTGTTTCAGCTTTGAAAGAGAAAAATAAACGTTTAAAGAATCATGGTGATAAGTGCAGTGATAGCAGCTGCGGGATGCCCTGTATCCCAACCCCATCTCCCCTGAGCTCCATTTCAGGAAGAACCTTGATTATAGCACCTTGGAGAGTGGGGTGGCAAGGCTAAGGAAAAAGGTAGAGGCGGGATGCCTGCTGAATCAGCTTCTCCAGAGCGAGTATGCGAAGAGAGTGCAAAAAGGTAGAAGGCTTTTAAAATTCCTTTCATTGTCTTCCTTCTGCTCGGGCCTGCCCACGCTCTCGGGGAAGCCTGCCAACTGCTCACTGAAGGCTGAATGGAGACAAGCTGGGCTGCTTGAGCTGCTCAGCCAGAGAAGAATAGCCGCACAGGCTGGCTGCTGGCGGACCACGCAGCTCTCCACTCTTCCTCTGTCTCTGCCAGCAGGAACCCCCCAGGCGGCATTAAGGGAGAATTGGTGTGCAAATTACAGGGTCTGCTAATTTCTCACCACTTCATTAGCAGCCGGCTCAACAGAGCTCTGAAGCCATTCACCTCAGGCTGAGGTAAGAGGGCCCTTCTCTTCAGGGGAAGCAGAGTTCAGTCCTGTTGTGTTGACAGGCTTGTGACTTTTTGGTGTCCTCTCCCTCCCCTCTCCAGTGTGTACTAATGTATTCTCTGACCCTGTTGATAGCAGTTACTTCCTTGGATATCCCTGTGGCATGGACCTCAGATCTTTTTTCATGGCCATGTTTTGTTTGGAGTTAGCAGAAAAAGGTAGAAACGGATCCTTTTTATAGAATAGATCCAAAGATAGGCCAGGAAGAAAGGAAGACAAAAACAAAATATTCAAATAGTGTCTTTCTGCACTTTTCTCACAGATAGATGGCACTCTTTAAGGAGACACTATGTGCCAAATAATGTTCTTGGCATATTTTATTATCGAGTCCCATTACTTCTATTTTACGGAGAGAACTGGGCACAGGGCGATTGAAGACAGACGTGGACCCTAAGTCCATGCTCTCTGTCCTAGGGCATTTTGCTTTAGGCAACTCCACAGTTATTATTGGATTCATGCAATAAACAGCGCAGACACACCATCACCCTAATGTCACTTACTTTGCCAGAGCTCCTTACCCTGTGACTTCCTGTCCATCTTGTATATGTGATGCAAATGCAAGTCAGCGAGTCATCATCAGGAAATGAAAATACATGTAGCTCCAGAGCTGACAGAGCTCTCGCTATAAGGGGCCAGAGAATGACATATTTTGGGCTTTGCAGTTCCCATGGCCTTTGCCTGAGCAAGGCTGGAAGCATCCATAAACAGCATACAGATGAATCACCATGTCTGTGTTCCAACCCAATTGTAATGATAGGCAGGCTGTGTAGAGGAAGATGCACAATTGTGTGTGGCACCCAGGCTGCCTGTACAGGGGAAGAAAGAAGCAAGTACTGTGACTCTATGTGGCCTGGGGGCTACTCCTTGTTCATGAAATAGAATCAGGGCAAATTAGGGTAGAGAGAACTGTGAGTGCTTAGGATCTGGGTGAAGGGTTTGCAGAGAAAATGAAGTGTGGGCCTTCCCTACAGATGAAAAATGCTGGTTATCCTTGATCAGTGAAAAGCAGGATATGCCCACTGAGTAGAGTAGGGAGGATTTCTCTGGAAATAATTTATTTTTGTAATAAAAGGGAGAGTCACACATACCTGATGTTCTCGTACACTACATGTATGAAGAAGAGCCAACCGCTGGTAGACCAAATCAGCATGCCATGGTGGATTGAAAAAGGGAGGACCTGGGTATTTGGTTGCTTGCCTCTGGCAATCATGTTAAAAGATTTAACTAGTGTTTGTACTCTTTAAGTAGCTGTAAGGTAAATAACAAAAAATCATTGTCAGAAATTATTTACTTCTATGTGTTTTCCTGTCTTCTGGATACTTCAGAAAATTGTGCCAGATCATGTGAAAATTATTTGTAATTAGTTTCTTTTTCTTAATAATTTTTTCTACATAATACACTGAAGAGAAGAAACAAAGCATTGATATATTAGCACAAATATATTAAAGGGGACACAATAGGGGGCTGATAATGGTGTCAAACTACTTGATTCTCTCTAGAGGTAGAGTTAGGCGTGACACTTTGGTTTTACTTTCCCTACAACTTTTCTATGGAAAATTTAGGAACATAATTACAGAAAGAAATTAAAATGGCAATGATCAAGCCCACCCTGGTCTTAGCTTCCATGTGGTTTTCTAACGACTTACACTGTTTTCCTTTCCCTCTTTTCTTTTGACTTGCTAGGATAGAAACCCTGTAAATTATGATCCCCAATTCTTTTCATCATGAATAATATGGAGAATTATGCCATAGCATAAAGCGTGTTCTAGAAGTGTCTTATGGCACTAACCAAACGCCCCGTTCATTCACTCACTTAGCTCCTGTGTTGGACTGGCCATGTACACCAGTGGTTACTCTGTGCATTGTAAACATAGAAGGAATGAAGATCTGGGATCTTTGGCATATCTCTCTTATCCCCATTTTCTCTGGATTGCTACACTTCTAGGCCTTCTATGAAAACCCAATATAAATGCTATTTTCCCCCCAGAATCTGAAGTTACACTCATAAAACTATTTCCACAGTCGTCTGCATTTCCATGGCTCCACTGCTACGGCCTCTATTTGGTTATTTTCCTAGTGATGGTGGATTATATGGTCTCGAATGTGGGTTTGCCCAGGGGGAAACTGTGTCATTGTAATCTCTCCCTGCTCTCAAGCTCCGTGTTGCTCTGTCCAACGTGCTCCTGCCTGGCTACATTTTGCCTCTACTGTCGATCATTCGTCCCAAACCCCTTGCCATGTCTTGTCCATGTTTCATCTTTTCTAAACTTTTTAAACCCTACCCTTCCACAACTTTATTACTTAGATCCTGCTAGGAGGATGAAATCATGTAGAATGGCCCAAAGGATAACTATATTGTATACTTATCAAGGCCTTAACTAATCTAGCTAACAAGTAAGTGAAAATTTAAATGAAATATGCTTAATATTTAATACTTCTATAGTAATTTTGGATGAGAAAATAAATGCTCTAAGCCGCTGGCATCAACTGCACTGTGAGGAAGGCACACACACATAGGCCTGGCATCTCCGCTGCACACATGAGGTCATCCAAGTTTCCCCTGGTCACCCAGGCCTTCTGCTTCTGCACCCCTGTTTGTACAGCAGCTACCCCCTCCCCTTTTAGAAGGAAGGGGAGAATGGGAAAAACACAACTCCAAATTCAAGTTAGATCAGGAAGTTGTGTGGCAATTTCAGGAATGTCAAGAGTAAAAATAAGAAAGCAAGAATTAATCCTGCTAGCCCCAAATGAGAAGCTGTCACCACGAAAGCTGTAACTTTCTAAATGAATCTAACACCTCTGAAAACTCCCACAACCATGCCAAGTATTTACATGTTCTCTCTGAACGTGGCATCTACAGCAAGTGGTTTTGGTCGTGAAGCGCGCCATCTGTGTGATTACCCAGCCCTTGCGAGAGTACTCTGAACTCAGCAGTTGTACAACAGATGCATTTCAATATACAGTATTCCCACTCGCGTGGTTCAGAGCGGGTGTTAGAAAACAACCAGCCTTCCTGAAAACTCAGACTGCATCTGACATTCTTCCAGACACCTTCCGTAGCCATCCTGCATGCGGTTCTGGAAGACGGAATTATCCTAATAGATGTGCGGACGGCGGAACAGGTCAGCCTGACCCGGGCCATCAGCAGCTGCTGCCACCGTCATTAGGAAGTCGATCAATCTGAGAAGTGAAATCAGATCACTCTTTAGTATTAGTCTCATTCAAGTGGAAGTCTGTGGAGTTCGAGAAACATACCAGCCTGCAGGAGTCAAGAGGTGACTACTCCAGAGAAGGGAACCAAAGTGGTTTCCCTGTAATTTGGCTCTACCACATTCCTAGGGACCTGTCTCTTGAAAAATAGCTTTAGGCTGTAGTTTCTAATGAAAATTAAAGAACTAAATTCTGTCTCTGTCCTTTATATTTAGTTAAATACTCTACATATATGCACTAAGGGATTTGGCTTAAGTTAGCTTCAGTTATGGGAATGATATGTAAATTTCTGTCTTTCAGGCTGTGCATTTTAATGAAGGACACTGGGCAATCCCAAGTCACAGCCCCTCTGACTGCCTGTTGCCTGGGAGCATGATTCTTCAGGATAGCTATAAAGCCATGGTAAGAAGGAGGGACCTTCCTTATATGAACAAAACAGCCTTTCCCACTTTCCTTCTTCTGTGTTCCCAACCATGGTGGTGTGTGGGGCACAAGGATGTCATTGACACTGAAAATGAGCAAACTCTAAGAGAGAACTAATGGGCATTGTAGCAAAAATATTAAAAACCCAGAGACAGAAATTGGAGTTCAACCTGAAAACCAGAAAAGCAAAGCAGCCAAGCCACTAGAAAAGTCTTAGCTCTATCCAGCTGGGCAACTGCAAACTAAGCAGAATAAGCCTCTCTCTCCTCCCATTTTTTATTCCCCCTAGTGCGTATGACTCCCTAGTAATGGGATTAAAGGTGAGGCACCACCACCTGGATTTGTTTCTGCATTGATCTTGTGTGGCCCAGGGTGGCCTTGAAGTAACAGAGATCCATTCGCCTCTGTCTAGCAAATCCTGTGATTAAAGGTGCCGGTCACCATTATCTGACATCTAGTGGTTTTAGCTTTGCCTCTGGTCTTCAGGCAAGATTTATTTATCAAAATACAAATAATATAGCTCACATGGAATTTCAAGAATTTAGGAAGGAAAAGTAGAAAAAAGATGTTCTGCATTTATACAAGAAAATTCAGAGCAATGGAACGAAGATGGCAGAAGAGTTATCAGTAAAGTCATGCTGTTTGTCAAGTGAGGTCTGCTTAGTGGTCTGCACCATGAAACACAGGATCAATCACTGAGAATCATTGGAAGCTGACGCTCATGGGTGGCTCAGTGGTTGAGGAAACATCCTGGGTGATGTAAATAGATCATATAAATACTGTTGGGAAACTTCAGAGGCAGGAGCTCTAATGTATTGATACAGAGAGATTTAAAAGTGCCTGGGTATTGTGACTCAGCAGTCTTGCTCTGTTCTGCCTTCTCCCCCTCCTTCTCCTCCTTCCCCTTCCCCTCTTAGTGAGAAAAATAAGAAAACTATCATAGTTTCTTTAACTCATACTAGGTCAGAAACTGGCAACAAGTTTTGGAATATGAAGAGTAAAAGTAAAAATTAGAGGGAAAAAGTCTTATGAGGACAAAACCAAAACCAAACCAAAACAACCCTCTACACATGTTAACAATAAGTTCTGGATCTGAGCAGGGAGAGGTAGTTCTTCATCCTAGCAGACTCTACCTGTTTCAAATGGGCAGGGAAAAAATACATTAGCCCCTCTTCTACGCCCATTCTCTTCAGGATTCTTACGTAAATCACGTAGGTCCATGATTGTTAATACATTTTAATTAAGTATGCATTACATGGACAGAATCTCTACATGAAAGATTCAGAGAGGATTTCCATACACTAAGTGACCTTGACTTGGAGAACCAATATAAGGAGTCTAAGCTGTTTGCTAGTCAGTAAATGAATGTTCAAAGAATATTTATTGTAATGTAGGTAAGAACATTTTATTTCAAATCTGCATCATGCCGAAAGACATTACTGGCCAGAACTGGATGGGAGGTCAATACAACTGGGCCTTCTGGGGCTGGCTCTCAGAACACATAGAGAAGCTGAGGGCTCAAACTAGAGGGAGGGAGGTGAGAATGCTCATGCCCAGTGGAACTGGTAACATATGAGAAAGACGTTTGGGATTTTATGCTCAGGAATTTGGGCTACTGAGTTCTAGTTTGAAGTGAAATGGCACTAGGGGAATGTTTAACTGTATCCTGGTTGCACTGTAATCCAAAGAGCTTCTGGCTGTACTTTCTCAGAAAGGACAATCAAATCTTGGAATAATCTGAAAGTTTATTTAGGCATTCAGGGGAATTTCGTCAATGTTCAGCATTTCCAAGTAAGTCAAATCAATTTCTCAAAACTAGCAGGAAAGTCAAGGTTTGGTTTTCCCTCTTTAGAGCCACCTCTGCCCTCGTGTGCGTGCCTCAGCGTGGCTTAGAGATCTCCCAGACCAAAGCAGCAAAGGATGAAAACAGTTTTGATGTTTCTTCTGTGCCATTTAGACCTCACGCTGGATCATGATCCATGCCCTCTCGATTAATGTCATGATTAAAAACAGTCATAAACAATATTAAGAAGAGAGTAGAGGGACACTGGAAAAAAAATAAGAAAGGTATCGGGGCACTGAGTGAATGTGGGGTGTGTGTGTGTGTGTGTGTGTGTGTGTGTGTGGTGTGTGCATAATGCCTCCAGCTTTTGTCAAATGGAAGATATTCACAATGGCAAAGGCAATTTCACGTCAAGGGCATGGAAGATGCAAACTACCCATGCTTAGGAAAATTTGAGTCGTCGTTGTGGTATGGGAATCAAAGTTCTAGACAGCCTCGCTGACTAAGATTCTGCCAGCATACTTCTTTTCTTGCCATGTTGTGGTTTCTGTTTGCGATGAATGCTTTGGCAGAATTTTGTCAAGGAGTGCATCTTAATTAACGTGGCTTAGAGGGAGGCAGTAAAATAATTCTACCAGCGATGAGAGAGTCACAACATGATGGGTATTTTGGGTATCATTTGGAAAACTTAATAGTGAGGTGATTTGCACTGCATTAAAATTGAAAATGATTTTGGGGAAAAATTCATAACAATAATGATGATAAATTACCAAACTTCTTGAAGCTTGTGAAACTTTTTTTGAAACCAGCACTTTCCTTATCACATGTTCTTCCTGATAGAGTGAACTAGACTAAGGCTTTAAGGAGGGAGACATTGGGATATGGAGTGTAGGAAGTTTTTATAACATTGTTTAAGTCAGAATCAGAAATAATGAGAATATCTGGGCCCATTCTATAGATCACACTTTTTTCTTTATTCATTTTTAATCTCAATTAAACTTTAAAATATGTATGCAGAAGGTAATATTACCAGACAAAAGCCAAACTCAATCGGATGTACATGCTAAGGCACTCTAAGCATCTCAGCCTGCAGAATCTGCAGCCACTAAGAAGAAAGTCTTTGCTTGTGTTCATCCTCATTGCTCCTCTTCTGTGCAGGGGAAAGTATGCATCAAATAGCTTCAGAACAACAAAAAGATAGTTTCCAATTTGTTTGTTACACTTATGGTTAACTACTATGGTGTGTAATGTGAAGACTTGTTAGCCGGATTTCAGGGCTAATTCTAGATTGATTCTCCCATTATTTAAGTCTTTTAGATTCAACTGTTTTGACAGCTATCCTGTTTTCTTCTAGGGGAGGATGGCCATGATAACCTGTAGTACACAACTACCCTGTGGTATGATTAGGACAATTTCATGAGACACGTGAACAGTTTTAGCCCCTTTCCTGTCTTGTTGAACGCCATCATTCATTCAAGTCCTGAGTAAAGTCTTTGGAATCACCCTGGTTCTTCCTGCTTCCAAATCTAGACAACTACAAATTCTTCACAATACACTTCTTTATTCTATTTCCTTTTCTGCTGCACCTTCCTATCCAGGCAACTAGCTGCTAGCTAGTCACTCTGGCTAAATTGATGATTTTAAGTTAAAAAACAATCATGCCACTGCCATGCTTAATGCTTACAATTTCTAGTAGCCTCCTATAGCACTCATGCCCTGGGAGAGTGCCTGGAAAACTCAAAGGTTTCTGGAGTATTTTACATGGCCACAATTTGCTTGACACTTCTCCTATGGAAGTGAAGCATTGAATTTCCCTCCCTCTCAGGAAGTCTAGCCTCAGCGCTTTATTGGAATAACAAAAGGCATCCAAAAGACTGAAAGACTAGTTCCCAGACTGGCTCTTGGGCCTGGTAGGGAGAAGGTAGTCTTCACAGACAGCTCCGTTGCCAACTCGTGAAAAGAAAAAGTCACATGGAGAGGTCCACGAATGGTGAGCCAGGGACTGTGAGATTGGTGTGCAGTCGATGGCATAGCTTCAGTGAATCAGATGTCCAAGCAGCTTTCCCATACACCTCAACTCAAATTGTGAGCCATCTGTTTTTTATATTTAAGCTAAAATATAGGTGGAGGTTGTAGCACATAAATTGTCCCAATATCCTCTCAGGCCATAAAAGTATGGTTCTTGCCTCTATTTTGGAGTGTATTCCTTTTTTTTCCTCCTGTTTGATCACTTCTCTCCAGACTTTCTCTATTTCTCTACTTAAAGCATACTGAGAGTCCTCCTTATCCTGAAGGTCAAGTCAGCCTTTTAGGTCAGGTTTCACTCTGTTCACAACATTCTAGTTTATCATTTTATTTTTAACAGTTGACCATTGATGCAGGCGAGCATATAATGTGTTCTGACCAAGCCTGTTGAATTAGGAGCAGCGAGGCTGCGTCCCCGGCACCCGGTTGCCCGCATGACTAGCTTATGCCCCGAAATAATTACACGGAAACTGTATTCTTTTAAACATTGCCTGACCCATTAGTTCCAGCCTCTTATTGGCTAGCTCTTACATATTGTTCTAACCCATTTCTAATATTCTGTGTAGCCCACGAGGTGGCTTACCAGGAGGATCTTAACCTGCGTCTGTCTGGAGTGAGAGAATCATGGCGACTCTCTCGACTAAGCTTCTTTCTCCCAGCATTCTCTTCTGTTTACTCCACCCACCTATGTTCTAAAGAATAAAATGGGCCAAGGCAGTTCTTTATTATAATTAACCAATGTCCTTCCTCCATCACAAGACTGCCACCCATTCTCTCCCCTTCAATCCTCCCCAAATCCCACCACTATTACTCCTTTTCAATTTCATGTTCTCTCTCTCTCTGTGTGTGTCTCTCTCTCTCTAGAGTTCACATAGAACTGCCAGAATGTGAATGGATATAGGGGCAGCCTTTCAGAAGCTGCATCCCCAAGTAAACCTGATTCCCCCTCTCAACAATTACCAATAGCTCCTCCACTAGAGGTGGGGCTTCAAAAACTCTTACTCCATCCATGCTGGGGTTTTATTTGGCTTCATCTTGTACAGATCTGGTGCACGTTGCCACACTCATTATCAGTTCTTATGAGCAATTTTTCTGTTGTTTTGCTTTGGCCATCTTCTCCCCACTTCAGCAATGAATGATTCCTGAGCCTTGGGGAGAAGTGGTGGGATTT